CCAATGAACAAGAACCACCCAAACAACGTGGCCGCAAGCCAAAGAAGGTTGAAACAAAGGAGCATGAGGCAAAGGAACCACAGAAACGTGGCCGCAAGCCAAAGAAGGTTGAAACAGAGGAGCATGAGGCAAAGGAAACACAGAAACGTGGCCGCAATCCAAAGAAGGTTGAAACAGAGGAGCATGAGGCAAAGGAAACACAGAAGAAGCGCAGCAGAGCCAAGGTAAAGGCCACAGCCTTGGCTGAGCAGGCAAAGGACACAGCAAACACCAAGCGGAAAAGCAAAAAGGCCACCAAGGCAGATGAGTCATATGAGCCACTTGAAGCCGAAGGAGATGTCAACTTTGACAAAGGAGCAGCATTCGATGCATACGCAGCAGCAAGTGCAAAGGCAGATGCTTTTGTACTGGGAGAACAGCAACAGATAAACACGGAGAAACCAAAGAAAACAGGCAAGAGAAAGAACAATAGCACCGAGTCCGCCCAGGCATCTAAGAAAGCAGTTAGTGATGATACCCCTGCAACTGCCAGCAAGAGGAAGGCTGAGGGAAGCACAGCATGCAAAAAGGCAAAGCGAAGCAAGGTCAACACAGAAGCAACGAGCAATGGCGATACAGTGGACACCACCTGTACAGAGGCCACACGCTGCGCCACCACGCCAAGTGAAAGCACTGCCCCTCCCCGTCCCCGGGCTGTGAAATCTGCAGCAACAAAAGCCAAGTACAGCCGAAAGAGTTGTGCCTACAAGAAGAAATTGAGAGATATGATCAACCAGGGTGTAGATGAGGAGGAAGCAAAACTTGCAGCACGACAGGTTTCCATTCCTTTTGCTTAGCACTTTTGTTTTGAAGTTTTCTGAAGATGTTGTAATGTTTTATGTTTTGTACATGCATGTGTATTGTGTGCATGCACGCAGATATCATATATGTTCCAACTGACTGGTCTCATGCTGCTGAGTATTATTGGCTACGAGGCTTATGCAGATTGCCAGTGAACTGGCGCCGGTGTCTTCTCAGACCCTTTGCGAAAGTGTGCTGAGCAGTGTCGAACACTTCCGTTTCGACATGAAATCTTGTCAGTTCCTGACTGCTGGTATTGTGAAATTTTAATTCGATATAACTCCATTTAACTCCCAATTTTTACAGAATCCGACTTGACACTTTAGACTGTTGTGAAAAACTCCATGTGAATCCCAGCAATCTTTTCTCACAGGGAATGATGCGTTTTTCAATGCACAACTTTAGGCCCTGTCTGGCTTCGCTCTCAGAAGTGCGTAGCTAGTATATGCTTTTCTGACAACTCAGATGCTGTCAGCCAGTTCCATTTGAAATTATGCCAGTGATGGCATTTGGGGGCCCAGTCAATTGTGATAACACGATTGCAACTCTTTAGCGATTGAGATCAGTTGAGAACAAAGGCGTGGTAAAAGAGTTGATAGCAGATGGTGCAAGCTCATGACCGTGCAGCCACAGCAGCAGCACCACCAAACAATACTAAACTAGTTCTCAAGAACATGGATTCCCAAAAGATTCTATTTTCTATTTATAAACATCTTTTCGGGATCTCACAACTGGCCCCTTAATTTTGAGATAAACCCATATAGCGTTTTCACAAAACTCTCAGTTGAAGTTTGCTTGCTGCAGGTGCTCATGGAACGATGGATGGCCAGATCGGCAACCCATGGTCATCCCTGCTCAGTTTTGGATGGGAGATATGTGGATATGTGTGCATGTCTCTAAGTAGATTCCCTAGCAGCGCTCTGGTACTTGGAGTTGTTTGTGATTATTTTCAACAGCAGTGGCTTCAGTGGCTTGATCAACGTTGCAAGTGTACCTGTAGCCTTCAGCAGGCTCATACATATCCATGCAGGTCATAGATTATCCCAGGTGTTTCTGTCATGGCGCCCAGTCGGTCTCAATCAATACTTGTGAACCTGGCCCAGACTCAGTGTCCTAAGGCTGGACACCAACCAGTTTGCATATTTAGCATTTACAACTTGCAACATCAATTTTGGAAATAAAATCTTGGTTCTGAGTAGTTGTTCCCTCCTGGGTTGCAAGGCATTCATTGCCTGCGTGTTGCTGGTCCTTTGGAGCAGTGATGTTTCTCCAAAGTACTCATTGGTGGAGTTATTCTCTGGACTTGGCCAAGTAGGCAAAGTATGGAGGCTGGAACTTGATTCTAGATTTCCAAATCTCGAATGTATCATCAGTTGCACATGCCATATATGCCATATTGTGCCATGTTCTTTCAAATGTGCTGCTAGGGAAAATGGTTACAACGTGGGTCAATACGACTGGGACTATGCAGAACGTGGCATGAACTTCTTATCCAATGGTGGATTTGCGTGTGTCACTCAGATATGTAACACAACACGCCCCAATGCAAACCTATTTGCGTTAACTGGTCAAACATGAACTGGTTTGGTAATAGATGTGTCACGTGTGCCCAGGACAGCTATCTACTTGGTGGCTTGTTTGGCCCCACTGGGCCTTTTGCTGCTTGGCCCAGACTGCAGCAGCTGGACGTTGGTATCCAGAGGCAGCTCCTGGAGATCGGTCATGAACCCGAACGGACGGCTTGGTTTGGACTGGATTCGAAATTCAAACCTGATGATATCTCGGTGATTTGGTTGAATTCTTTTAGATCAGTATGATTGTGGTTGGTGAAGTAAGTGTAGGTTGGACAATGCATGGGGCATCTCAACATGAACATTGAACCTAGGTGCACTTTGATACTCCATTTATGTCTGGCAGTTTGTGCCATCTACGTGATGGAACAACCACGTGGGAGTGAAGAGGTGCTTCCACGTCACAAAAGGTTTGAAGCATTCTGCAATTTGATTTCTTTTGCAGCATGACTGCACAACCAAAAGTATCACATATCACTGATATGGAAACGGCTTTGCAACACTTATGGGGATTGGTCAAAATATGAGCCCTGTGGTTAGTTATACAAATTACTATCGATCGATATACAATAATCTATCCATTTGTGGGGTGCACAATTTTGACCTATACCCATATTCCTATATGTTTCTTTTCTTCTTGGAGTCCTGGATGTCCAAGGTATTTAAGAAACGATTCTGGATGATGCACCATGGAGGCTGCACACCCAAACCAACAGTGGTTTGGGGAAATGAAGAAGACATTTTGTCATCGTTGGAAGCTAGCCTGACAAGAATACGCAGTGCAATTGCAACTTAAGAATACGTATTATAATCTTAATACTTTGGCATGGTTAGCCAAGGACCTTGGAGTTCTTCCCAGATCGGTCCAGCAGACCAGCACTGTGAACACCACTCGCAAGAACCTCAGAGTGACGTCATGGGTTGTAGATTTTTTCTTGCCTGTTTGCTACTCCAAAGAATGCCACCACAAAAGGACAAGTACCGAAAAGGGTGTGGGAGTCCTGTTTTTATTTGTTTTTGTTTTTTTGATGGTGGCAAACCAGCAGAAAAAATACAAATGGGTTTCGACACTAAAGTGCACGAATTATGGATGATTTGCAATACTCCTATCTGAAGGTGTAGTCTATTGGAGCTATAAGTTTCAACCTGGTGCCAACTTGCACGAAATTTCAGAGTCATGACACATTGAGTAAATAAGGTCGATATGTGGCCAAAGACGGCAAGATCAGATTTCAGGGCACAGAAGCCCTTCGCTCCACGCAGCCCATCCCTTATTTCACTGATTGGTGTAGAAGCTGCATTCTGAATTTCAAAGCTTAACACACCCCTGAAAACATGTTATATGGTGAATCCATCCTGGTTCAATCACACTCATGATCCCCCATACTCCTACTTCTGAGGCAATATCCACGTGGACTTGGAGAAAATCTTCTGCGCGCCTGGGAAAGGTTTCGAACGAAGCCCAGGTTGGATCTGAGGCAAAAGCCAGCATTTGATCCACAGAAAACAGATTTGCAGATTTTTCAATCCTTAGAGGACAATGACCCCTGGACCGATGCCAAGCTTCCCAGTCTCTTTCTATACCTCTATGACAACCAGAAGCTTGTAATCCCCAATGAGTGGGAAAACACTATGGAAGAGATGCGCAAATACATGGAACAATTTGTGGCTAGGCATGCAAAGGTGTCAGAACTGATTTTCATATGTGCATATGGACTCCCCGATCCTTTTTGATTTCCTGCCTTGTGTTGGCACTGCACCAGCAGTTCTTCCCAGGTTCTGACCAAAGATGACCTGGCTGGTGGCCCAACAGAGTGATTGGAGAGCAGTCGCAACCCAGTGCATTCAATTCACAATTTGAAAGAATTACCAATTGGTGGTGCTGGCTCGGTGTGTCAAGAAGAATTTTGAAGATGTTTAGGTGAATTTGATGGTTTTGGGCTATCTTAAGTGATTTTTTGGCAAAAAATGGTAAAAGTTTGCGCCTAAAAAAAGTTTCAAAACGGCTTCAAAACCCTTCAAAACGACTTCAAAAACCATCAAACGCCTACAAATCCCAAAAACTAGGTCAAATGGGTTTTTGGTGAATTTGGCAAAAACCGAGCTTTTCAGCACAATTCGAACAGAAATGGCATGCTTTTGCATGCTGTGCAGCCTCAAGTGGGATTGCCTAGTTGGGGCAGCGGGTGGACATGCGAGATTGTGGCCAGTGATGTCTAAAATGCTCGGGGTTCTTGACAGCGTTGCTCGTTCAAACTGGTGGTTTGAAATCACAAATTAAGTTGGAACATCAAGAATGTCATTTACCCAACTTAATGAGGTGTTTGCTCAAGGACTTGACTCTAGGAATCCCTAGGACGTGAGTAGCTACTGATGTCAGCCAGTGACAAGGCTAAGCCATGCCCTTCTTTTGAGGAGGGGAAGGTGGCATTAGATGCCCAAAGTGTTCTGAACCCTGTGGCCACTGACTTCAATCCGATGATACAAGTAACGAAGCAGCATATATGATGTACACACATGTTTTCTTAGATATGTATATATATGATTTTTTCCAAATAATCTTATATGGCATCCCTGCCCACTGAGGCAATGCAGGCCAGGCTTGCTGCTTTGCAGGGTCAGCTTGGACACCTCTCAGGCATGGATGGTGCCCCACAGCCCGGAGGTGGGCCCTGACAAACGTACCCACCTGTTCGTACTTTTATGCAGTTGTTTGATGCCAGAAATTTGATGCTCTTAGAGACTAAAATAATTAGAGGACATGGGATGGGAATTCAATGAACTTCTATGATGATATAATTCAGTTTGGGAAACCACTGTAAGAATCCAGCATGAAATTTCACAGGCTGACCCCGTTCAAAAAATTTAGATGTTTCCTGAAATGATAGTAATGGCAATGGCCCCAAAATCACGATAATTGGGTGTAAAACTACCATTTGCATCAGGTGGTGGAGTTGCCCTTGCTCGTGCTGCGGGGGCCTTTATGCCGGGGTTTGGTAGCAAGGATGGCAACAGCTTGCCACCAGGAAGTTCCCAAGAGTCACTGGTGTCACCACCAGCTACACCAGCAACAGTGGGGACCATGGGATTCAACAGCCCACCACCCCCAAGAAGTCTCAGTGGTGTTAGTGTAGCTACAGCTCCAACTTTGAAATATGGTGCCACCATAGATCTGTCCACGCCACAGCCAGAGCCGGTTCTCCCAGACCGCCTGCCAGATAGCTGCTTTCCTGATACCTTGCGCCCATGGAATTCACCTGCGACCAGTGTGGTGGGGAAGCCAGACAGTGTTGAGTCCACGCTGCATGATGCCCCATCACCTACTGGAACAATTGAACATGTGGGGTCATTGGAGGCATCAGTACCTGCAAAGACACACACCGATGCAAATGAGGCACAGGTTGGTGGGTCACCGGGAACAGTGCAAGCACCAGCAACTGCAGAAACACTGACCAATGAAAAAAACGGAGGGTCACCAGGAACAACAGTACATGCATCAGCACCTGAACAGACGTTGACAAATGGTGGGGGGTCACAGGAGACAGTGGCACCAGCACCTGCACACACACTGCCCAATACAAATGGTGGAGGGTCGCCCAGAACAGCACCAAATGAACCAAGTGGTGAATCGGGAGCACAGCCAGACAAAGCACCGTCACAGCAGCCCGGTCCCAAAAAGAACAAATATGCCGATGGCACCTACTGGAAGCCACTCTTCAGCACTTTAAAGATTTAAGATTTCATCGTTTGAAACCTTTGCCCTTGAAGGAACGGAAATGGGTTAGGGTAAACACATGGATGTGAAACTTAGGCTTCGCAATTATGTCAAACCGAACAAGAAGGGTGTGATCAAGGCTAGCACGAATGTTATCAGCATGTTCAAGACTGAGAAGGGCAGACACTTGGATTTGATTTGTTAAGTTCACAAAGCGCAGTACAGTATCCTCACTTAGCCTTTTGTAGTTTTTGTGTGTCAATGCCAAACCTAGGAGAAGAGTTGCGCGAACTACTCTTGAAAGAGGGTACTCTTGATCGTGTTGAGGTTGCCATTCAACGACAGCATGTTGAAGAGGAGACTAACACGTTGCGGGGTGGGTGGCACACAGCAGTTTCTTTGGAGAGAGAAGGGTGGACCACGTCCCCTAGCTGAAGACCTTCTTCACAATTTTGCATATATTATTTATAACATATATGATTATAAATATATTCATGAATACTATTATTATTACATTCTCTTCCTTTATTGATCCTATCACCATGTCAGTGATGCACTGAGGCAAATGATAGAGAACAGCAAGAAGTGGGCCCAAGCGAGAAACCTTGTCCATCGCAGTGAGGTTCACGGTGAGGAGGAATGGCGTGTTCCCCTGCAGCGTGAGTTTGAGTTCAAGGAACAGAACAGAAAAACAACGTCTTCAAGTGCTGGCTTTGTCACACAGGACTGGAATACACAAACATGTCCTGGTCATGCAGTCTTATATCACTTTCTAGCTTATTTGGGTATCAACTGTTTGAAGGACTCCACGGGTGAAATTCTTTGTTCACCGCTCGATGCAGATGCTGCCATGCACATGACACTCGAATACCATATGACAATCCAAAACAATCCACAAATGGTTTAATCAATGGCATAAATAATAGCTAAACCTCAACCGCTTGCTAAGGAGGGGAGAGGCTCCTGCAGCAGGCGTCGCTGTGACCCAGCCCGCTGGAAATGCCAAGTCCCAAACCTTACCAGTCTTGCAAGCCAACCAGTGCCCATTTGGCTTCTTTATTGCAAGTTGGTTAGTTCTGTTTTGGATGTTCTCAAAAATGGTCATGCAGTCCAATTCTCTTTCCCATGGAAGTTAGTCTGCAATTGCTCAGGATTGCTGCCGGCTTTCATTGAAGGTGTTGCCAAGAAAATATCCAAAGCTGAAGAAGCGGAGGATACCATATAGAACTGATCGAGATATAAATAGCAGTACGTGAGAAAAAACATATTCTCATATAGTATCTCATATATGCTGCTTTATTCGCAGGAAACACTACGTGGCCTGAACCTAGAGCGCGCAACAAAGCCGAAGTCTCAGCACAGGCAATCAACTCATTCTGATTCATGCTAGCATATAGCTATATATAGCTTACCATGGGCCATATTGGGTGGGCCATGGTGGGCCATATTGGGGGGATAAAATGAGGCTGGCCGACGAACTGAATGAGAAGACCCAGCTCTTGGACGGCAAGTACAAAGAGTTGATTACTCAGCAACAAGACATTATGACCCAGAATGTTCCCAATAGGCCTGGCTGAATTCCATCTCGTTGACATCAGTGTTGGTCAGCTACCTGTTGGTGCAACATGGCATTTGCAGCTGCTTTCTATTAGATATCTTGACCACTCTTTTACCTGAAACTGCGACAGTTCTACGAAAGACTCGTTGGTGAAGCTGTACATTGCCTGTACCCAATGTGATGTTCTGGTCAACAATTTGCTGTCTCGTTCCAGGACTGCTGATGGTATTTATCAACATGTGCACTGCATGTCCCAGTAGTCATGATGCATATACATATAGCATGATCTATATTATATATGTAAGGACCCTGAAGGAATGTGAAAGCACCGAAAGCGAAGTCAAACTCGAGCAAGCCGTCGAAAGCTTCTTTGAGTGAAAAGAAACGTGCTGCTACTGTGACTCCAACTGTAGCACCAGTGAAAACCAAGAAGAAGCGCAAAGCTTCGGCTGCATCTGCAAGTGCAAGTGCTGCCCATAAGACTTCCAAAAAGAAGCGCAGAACCAAGTAGATCTTGTTTGAAGTGGCAATATGATTTATCAAGACAACTGCTGCTCCCCACCTTTATTATGATTATTATGTTGTTCAAGAACAATATCTTAGGTGTCATTATGTTATTCTTATTTTTCAATCATAATCAGCTGGGAGGCTGGGAGCGGCAAAAATTTTGCTGGTCACTTCAATTTCTTGTTAGCCCATTTGGGGGGCCCGTCCAAAAGGCCTTCTGTGAGGCCAAAGCATAGGGTTGCCAGAGGATTCAGCCTGGCCCGGGGGAAAAGAAATCATTTCTTTTGTGCGTGGTGGGGCCACCTTGACCTATTTGCATATTTGCCAATTTTGAACTGCAACAATAACAAGTGGAACAATTTTCCTTGAAACTCGAGCCAGGTGGATTGGGATCTCTGATTGGTGCTGGTGCCCTTAGTCAGCAGCCCAGCTCTTTTCAGCTTCAGACCTATAGAACTGGTAACTATCTTTTTGGGCACCTTCTCAGGTCGACGTGAGACAGGTGCAGCAGCAGAGGAGGATGGGTCTTCTTCTTCTGCTGATAGTGAGCTGGCTGCTGAACTTTTTACTGAATACTTGACCGGGGTAACTTGGATCAACTGTTTTGGATTCCAAAGAGGCTGTGGTCCAAAAATAATGGAATAAACTTAAACATCCATAAACGGTTCATATGGAGTCCAGGCATTTCATAATTGTGTGGGACTTAAGCATTCCTGTTCAATCTTCTTACATACCAGCCCTAGGCAGAATCAGCGGAACGCACTTCCAAGCTTGCCAACATGATATGTCGGGTGCGCAAAAATCGACACTTGGTTGGATTCCTAATCTTTTGATGTTCAACCAACTTGTAGTGGTCATACAATTTTCACACAACCCCGAAGAAACCAAGAATTCAGGGAATAAGGGATTAATTTTATGGTGCATCAAAAAGTCAAGAACCCAGGAAGAAAAACAGATCTACTGTGCAAACTCTCCCGAGCTGGTCAGTCGAAAGCAAATGCATGCCGAAATTTGCATCGGTTGATCAACCGAAACAATGTGCTGTTTCCAGTCCCTATTGATTGTGGGCTGGTAAGGGTTGCCTTCAGAAAACCTGAATACAGAACAGAACAAGTTTACTGGCCCTTTCTCCGGATGAAGGACTGGATCAGGTGCCTCCTCCGGGAATCTCCAAAGATGCTGCTGGCAGGGTATGACCTAGCCGATGCACCAGGTTGGACCGGGGTGTTTTCAACCTTCTGGTCAAAGTACCGATTGACA